TGAGGCATGTGAGGCACGTGAGATTCAGGAAGCACCTGGTTATTGATGACGACTGAGCAGTCATCCCTCTTGTTTTGCCTCGCTACCTCCTCCTTGGTATACACCTAGGTTTCTTTGCCAGCTTGTCAGCCGGATGAACATGTCGATGAAATATGGATAAACTTTCAGCAGATATGGTAGATGAATGGGTCCGGCGAATGTGGAGTTGTGAAGCAACAGACTCTATGAACTGGATTCCCTTACTTACGGGTGGGGTGTCTTGTTGTTAGCTGCTCCGCTTTCGTGCACACACGCATAACGCGTTACGCCTGAGGGCACAGACGGCGCATACTGAGACGAGATAGAGGTGCAGAGAATGGAGAGGTGCTGCGAATGAGAATTGACAGGTGCAGAGAACGGAGAGGTGTATAGAACGGAGAGGTGCAGAGAACGGAGAGGTGCAGAGAACGGGGAGGTGCTGAGAACGGAGAGGTGCTGAGAATGGAGAGGTGCTGAGAACGGAGAGGTGCTGTGAGTGGAGAGGCGCAGGGAATCGACAGGTGCAGAGAACGGAGAGGTGCAGAGAATGGAGAGGTGTTGAGAACGGAGAGGTGCTGAGAACGGGGAGGTGCTGAGAACGGAGAGGTGCTGAGAATGGAGAGGTGCGGTGAGTGGAGAGGCGCAGGGAATTGAAACGTGCAGAGAACAGAGAGGTGTATAGAACGGAGAGGTGCAGAGAACATCAGGGTGCAGGGAACGGAGAGGTGCAGAGAACGGAGAGGTGCAGAGAACGGAGAGGTGTTGAGAACGGAGAGGTTCTGAGAACGGGGAGGTGCTGAGAACGGAGAGGTGCTGAGAATGGAGAGGTGCGGTGAGTGGAGAGGCGCAGGGAACTGAAACGTGCAGAGAACAGAGAGGTGTATAGAACGGAGAGGTGCAGAGAACGGAGAGGTGCAGAGAACGGGGAGGTACAGAGAACGGGGAGGTGCAGAGAACGGAGAGGTGCAGTGAATGGAGAGGCGCAGAGAATTGACAGGTGCAGAGATTGGGAGGTGCATAGAACGGGGAGGTGCAGAGAACATCAGGGTGCAAGGAACGGAGAGGTGCAGAAACCGGAGAGGTGCAGAGAACGGAGAGGTGTTGAGAACGGAGAGGTGCTGAGAACGGGGAGGTGCTGAGAACGGAGAGGTGCTGAGAATGGAGAGGTGCGGTGAGTGGAGAGGCGCAGGAAATTGAAACGTGCAGAGAACAGAGAGGTGTATAGAACGGAGAGGTGCAGAGAACGGAGAGGTGCAGAGAACGGGGAGGTGCAGAGAACGGAGAGGTGCGGTGAATGGAGAGGCGCAGAGAATTGACAGGTGCAGAGAATGGAGAGGTGTATAGAACGGGGAGGTGCAGAGAACATCAGGGTGCAGGGAACGGAGAGGTGCAGAGAACGGAGAGGTGCAGAGAACGGAGCGGTGTTGAGAACGGGGAGGTGCAGAGAACAGAGAGGTGCGGTGAATGGTGAGGCGCAGAGATTTGACAGTTGCAAAGAAGGGAGAAGTGCAGAGCAAGGAAAGGTGCTGAGAATGGAGAGGTGCTGAGAACGGAGAGGTGCAGGGAACGGAGAGGTGCAGAGAACGGAGAGGTGTTGAGAATGGAGAGGTGCTGAGAACGGGGAGATGTGGTGAAAGGAGTATGGACCTGGTCATCACACTCATCCCTACTACTTTATGTTGTTCCAACCAAAATTGCATTTCAGCTACGGGCATTGCAAAAGGCAATTGGCTATGTCTCCGTTTACCAGTGAGAACAACAAGTGTCTCATTTGCATGCAAACAGGATTCTTAATGATATTATTCTAGTATGAAAGTCACACGTCTAAACATGAAGATAATCACAACCCATAGGTACATTATATGGTACTTTTGTCCCGATTGTAAGGCTGTTCGACATGTAAGTTACATTGCCTCGAGTAGCGATTTTAAACCAACAACCAGATTGTCTCTGTGTGCATCATGTTGATGTGTCTTGGAGGGTTATTTGTTACTATCCTGTATGTCCCAGGTGATATAAAGACGAGACTGGAATGTTTGAACTAAATGATAGGAGAGGAGATTCTAACCGATTATACTTGTAAAATCCAACAAGGTAGTACATACATATACAACTGCATATCAGGACTAGGCGTTTATACGTGCACGAATTCGGATGAGCCACGCACATCACGCATAATCCACCTGCATTCATCATCACACCACGAAGCCGAGCGAACGAGTCGCAATCGCTGTCAAGCGACTCTCGACTCCGCGTTCCCTTGCACAATACGCAGTGTCGACCTGTCGTCCTTGGCTGCACGACTTTGCGCGACCTCAGGTTCTATTTCCTCCCTCCCTCACGTAGTTTGCTGAGTAGTCGCAGCTGCTAATCGGGTGTTGTTCGTGACGATTGTGATAATATACGTGCGGCACCTGTCGAGTCGCCTGCAAATCAGCAATACGAGGCAGTCGGGCAGAGCAAACTCTCACCTCGCTGCCGCAAGTATACTTCTTGTAGACCGTTCTTTTCGCACTTAGCTGCAAAACAGTCAGTAGCGCGCACAAGAAATCCAACGTATTTAACATTCAGTGGCGCGAACACGAGTGCAGTTTAAGCACTCAGATTGGCCACTGCATCATCAGCTCTGACCGTGTCCGTCTTACTTTCTCCTATCTACAGTAGCAAACCATGGATCTGTGCTCTGGAGAGGCGGTGGATCTGGAAGGACCATCGTGCTTCTTGCAATCCCATGTTCAAACCCTCATCACGTGTTGGTTGGATCACGTACACCTGCTCCACCACCCTTTATGGTACTCAGACCTCACCAACCAACTGATACTTAGGACGCGGCACCTGTTTGTGTTTTTCCAGGATCGGGGAAGGATCGGGCAGTCACACCGATCCTGGCACATCGAGTGGCACATCGATGTGCCCACACTGCAAAATTGAAGTGTGATACACACTTCGAGCCTCAAGTGCCAGGATCGACAATGCAGGATTGGCCTAGCAAGTGCGTTGCTGTAATTTACAACACACTGAAAATCCATCCAATCACAGAACACCCTGGTCGTCGCACAGCACGGCCTGGGCGACTTGGGCCCCAATCAAATCAAACCACCTTCCCGATGTGCAAGCACGCCCATATTCCCTAGCACAAAGAATGTTCGTTGGTAGTTGCAGCGACTCATTCAGTTTCAGCCTGCAACTCAGGGCGACGCCGATCGATCTTGGTTGTCACCTGTGGCGCGATGTACTATCCCGCCTGCTCAGACCAAGATCGATGTGTGCCCACAGGCACATCGATCGTGCGAGCTGCGGGTGCCACCACTTCATCACTTGTGTTTACTGTATATATTGGCGATTTAGCGAAAGCAGGAAACCAGGTATGCGCGATGTCGCCAGTACACTGTACACACGGCACATCGATCCCCAACCAGGATCGATCGTGCCTCCTGGGAAACAGGTGCCGCGTTCTTAATGCTAGTATCATCCGGTGAGTCAAGTCATGTTCTTAGTCCTATGTTCACTAAGTCGCCACTCATAGGTGAGAACCTAGATCCAACAGTTCAAGCTCAAACCCTTAACGCGCAGGTAGGGGCTGTGGAGTTGCCTAGTTCTACCAAATCTCCAGATGAGAAGAGATATATGGAGATAGTAACAGCAGAGAAAACTGCCCAAGTCGTCAAGGAGTATCGTAGGAGACATCCGTCCAAAGCTTGCAACGACAACGAGTCAGGGGGCGATTCTTCATCTGAAAACGACTCCAGCCGTGACGGCGATGAGGAGCCATACGCAAACAAGGCTATTTCCTCGCCCTCGAAATGGAGGGAAAAGCGTATGAAGAAGTTAGAAGAATGCAACCCCAAAAAAGGCCAGAAAGGTACGCGTTCACTATATCCCACCAGTAATTCTCTGGCTCGTTTTGTAATTTCTGGGATGCCTATATGTTGTTACTGCCAATCCCGCTAACGGCACGTGTGAAACTCATTTTGCTCTATTGGTGCTTTTGACAGGCGAGTCAGAAGAGAAGGGTCACCCGCAAGCGAGAGCAAAGCGCAAGAAGGGGAGGGGTGTGGTGGAGAAGGGTTGTTCTTTTCATCGGCAGGAGAAGGCGGTAGCGGCCGGTGGCGACAACGTGCTTCAGGGTGGGCCTGCCAAAGATGGGGAGGATAAGGGACGAGGGGCTGATGTCGCTAAGGGCGACAGTAATGGTGAGCGTAAGGGGCGAGGGGTTGAAGTTGCTAAGGGCGACAGGAATGGGGTGGATAAGGGACGAGGGACGGAAGTCGCTAAGGGAGACAGTGATGGGGAGCGTAAGGGACGAAGGACCAAAGTTGCTAAGGGCGACAGGAATGGGGGGGGTAAGGGACAGAATCGCTAAGGGCGACAGTGATGGGGAGCGTAAGGGACGAGGCACTGAAGTTACTAAGGGCGACAGGAATGGGGTGGGTAACGGACGAGGGACAGAAGTCGCTAAGGGCGACAGTTATGGGGAGGGTAAGGCACGAGGGACCGAAGTCACGTACAAGTGGCGCAAGGCGGTTGACACGGGCGGTCTTGACAAAAAAATGAGGCAGGCTCGCCAGGGACGGAAACGCTACGCTTCCAGCTCCTCGTCCGGTTCCGAGGAGGGATCCAGCGACGAGGAATTTGGTAGTTCATCCAGCAGCGAGGAGGTTTATGGAGACGAGGAAGAGGAGGAGAGTGAGGATCAGGATCTAGAGCCCGAAAGCGAGGAGGCGGATGAGGTGCGTCCGAAGAGAAAGGGGCGTGATCGGCGGCCCAAGAATGGCAAGGATAAGAGGAACCGTGGCAAGGGTCGTGACAAGGGCCGTAAGGGGCGCGACAGTCGTGGGAAATCGCATGGCAACAACGGTCGATGCCGTGGCGCTGCCCAGGTTGTCCGTGTGCGCCCCAAAGTGAAGCCCGAGCCTGAATTCTATGCGGAGATGGGAGTGAAAGCAACTGCTGCTACTACTAGATCTCTTGATCGTAAGGATATGCCCCGAAGCTCGCGTGACGATCGCGCGGACCCTTACGCTGCTCTCAGAGGGCCATCACTAACTGCTGGGAAAGGAGCAGACCCGTTGCCCACAGGGTCCTGGCGTCATAACAAGGAGGGAAAAGACCCGCCTGCGAAGCCTGTCGAGCCTCGGGGTTCACCGGATCCTGACAAAGGTGACTTCAAGCCCAAACGATACGGTGACGCAACGGCCGCAGCAGCAAACGACGGTGTGGCATGTGGGATGTGGGCAAATGCATTGAGTGAGTGTGGCGGAGTTATGGCTGGGTCTCCGTACGATGAACGTGACGCAAGGGGCGACGACTACATCTTGAAAAGGGATGCACACACGAACGAGGGGAGGGGTGAGAACATATGCACGCCCGGTGCATCAGGTCGTCTCAATCCGGCTCGCCCCAAGATGGTGGAAGAGCTCACGCGAGAGCTAGAGCTAGCAAACAGCGAACTAGCAGCCCTCAAGGCAAAACCAGTTTGCCATGGCGTCAAAAACCACGGTCCTCCCTCCCGGGTTCCTCCGGGGGCATCTATGTGGAGTGACCCATCATCTGGGGGCCTCAGTCCCGGGGTAGCTGAGGAGAGCACACCGACAGAGGGCCAGCCCATTCGGCGCAGGCATGGAATGCCCAGCCTCGAGAAATTGAGGGTGAGTGTGAGTGGCACTCTGCGTTGCTTTCAAAGACAAAGGCATGTGTACCAACTGTCATATGAGTGCGCATATTAACCCCCCTTTGACTGCCCCACCTTGGTTATTCATGCTCATGTTAAACCCCCCTGCCAGAACCGTGTTATTCATGCTCATGTTAAACCCCCCTGCCAGCATCTTGCTATTCATGCTCATGTTAAACCCCCCTGCAAGCATCTTGTTACTCATGGTTATTTTTATACCCCCCTGCTAGCCCCACATGGTCAAGCATAACGTTTCTAACCCCCTCTGCCTGCCCTACTTCTGACCCACATGTAATGGATGTTAATTATAACCCCCTCTACCCGCCCCACGTTTGACGTGCTTGCCCCTTGCCACTGATTTCATCTTCCCCTATCCTCCCGTCCATTGTAGCTTCATTTCGTCGAGGCGCGGGACCGGATGTGCATGGATGCGCCGGATCATGCGATTGACTGGTACCCATCATTTGATCAGCGACTACAGGTTCTATATGGCGTCATCAGTGAGACCCACATCATTTCCCCCATGCAGCTGAAAGAGACAATGAAAGACCAGAACGTCGTTGCCGTCTTTAAGCGCGTGTGGACAGCATGGAAGAATGAACGGGGCTTCCAAGTCAAGCGCAGTGTGCTCGAGAAGTTCGGAGTGAGGGTTGATGGGCTGCGTGCAGCCGAGATCACGCTGAGCACGAAGAGGAAGAAGAGGCTGTGGCGGAAATACAAACCGAGTGAGTCATGATGGCCAGCTATCCCGCTGCAAATACGATATGTTCGTCCCGTTGCTCATTCCCTTTGTCTTTTCTGATCGTACTTCCATAACCTTAACCCGGCCCCATCCTGTCATGGTCACAAACCCGTCTGCCCTGCCTACCCCACCTCAGGATCCTCACACAAAACTGTCTGCCCTGCCTGCCCCTACTTAGGATGCCGAAACTTACCTCCAAACCTTGCCTGCCCCACTTGATGATCAAACATGCACTGTGCTTCCACACCTGGTTGTGCATGCGTGTAGGATGGAATGAGCGGGTCAGCTCGTGGGGCAACGACAGATCCGGGCTCCCTTTTGCCAACGCCCGGTTTGTGAATGCGGTGAAGGCATCATTTCGGGATTACGCTGTTGGGCGCAGGCTGGCCCTAAAAACGTACCACATAGCCTGGTCACTCATGGTGGTGAGACTGTTTCTGTAAATCACATTTACTTGTCCTAGTGCTCGATCCTTTCTATTGCATTTTCCACGACTTGGGACCCTCGGGGGCTTGCAATGTAAACACCCAACTCTGCCTTGTTGCTGATCCCTGTAATTCAAACCCATTTCAGATTGATCAAGGCTTGGCGCGCGTCAAGAAGACCGACATGAACCTGGCGAATTCCCACCGAAAAAACACTAGATGGATGACAAGTTTGAGTCGGGGGGTGCGGGGGATTGTTAGGAATCACTTTACACGTCACACCCCCGTGTACAACGCAGAGTTGCAGGGCTTCAAGTGGGGCACGCGTGGGCTATATGTACATGAGTCTGGGTTTGAGGCGTTTCGAAGGACGGCTCAGGATGATAATGAGGAGGAAGAGGAGGAAGAGGAGGAAGAGGAGGAAGAGGAGGAAGAGGAGGAAGAGGAGGAGGAGGAGGAAGAGGAGGATGAGGAGGAGGAGGAAGAGGAGGAGGAGGATGATGAGCAGGGGGGGAAGGGGTGGAGAGAGAGCAGAAGGCACAAGAGAGGCAAAAGGATAGGAGGCAGGGGGGGAAAGTGATGGGCCGGCAAGACAAGGGGGCAAGCAGGGCGGGTGGCAGTGGAGGCAGTTGGAGAGGCCTCGGGTGAGGCAGGAGGGTATCGGTTAATGGGGAGAGCAGGGGCGTATAAACAGTTGGGGTCTGCAGCAGGGCAGGTATCAAGGAAAGACAGCAGGGAGTCAACAAGGAAAGGCAGCGGTGGAGGCAACATAGAAAGGCAGCGGTGGAGGCAACAAAGGGAGGGAGCAGGGGAGGCAACAAAGCGAGGGAGCAGGGGAGGCAACAAAGCGAGGGAGCAGGGGAGGCAACAAAGGGAGGGAGCAGGGGAGGCAACAAAGGGAGGGAGCGGGGGAGGCAACAAAGGGAGGGAGCAGGGGAGGCAACAAAGGGAGGGAGCAGGGGAGGCAGCATCGAATGGCAGCAGGGGAGGTAACATAGAGAGGCAGCAGGGGAGGCAACATAGAATGGCAGCAGGGGAGGCAACAGAGAGAGGCAGCAGGGGAGGCAACATAGAATGGCAGCAGGGGAGGGAGTGTATATTTGGAGGTTCCCTGGGTGTCGGTAGTGGAGGAGAAGTGGAGGCGCCAATATGAGTAGCAGCAGGGGGGGTAGCAGGGGAGGTAACAGGGAAGTTCCAGGAGAGGCCCAATATGGAGCAGCAGGAGCAAGCATGAGATGAGACCGCAAGGGGGGCAGCAGTAGAGGCAATGCGTGGAGACAGCAAGGAGGCCGGAGTATAGGCAAGGGAGGAGACAGGAAGTGTGTAGCCGTGCAGGTTAGCATTAGGTGGAGCAGTGTCTGTAGTCAAGAAATCTCTAGGCCAAGAGCCCAAGAGATGGGGCGGGGACACATCCGATGGTGGCTTGCGAAGTAGGTAGGAGGATGGTGCAGATTAATCCATCCTAGCGGGGCTACGCAAAGCGTGTTTAGGAAGTTGTTTTGTGTGCCAAGCCAACTCTGTAACGAGATTAATGATCATTTAGTAATGCATTCATGATGTGCGTGTACACCTACCAATGGCTCCTAGACCTTCCATGAAACAACGAGAAACGCATGATGAAGGTTCCTACACAATCTTATTGAACGTTGGTCCTAAGCTCTGCTAAAGAGTATATTGGGTGGAATTTAATCTCCCAAAACACTCCTAAAGAAGTCTTATACATCTTTGTCGAAACTCGGACCAGCCTTAATCCGAAGGTAATTCAAACGTGTCGTGACCTGCAAAGCATTCGACAAAGCATTCGAAAAAATGTGTCTACTTTCACCGAAAAGAGTCTTGGACACTACGTTTTAAAAGCATTTGAAAATACTTCGCAACAACCCTTTACAATAGGTTTCTAATCATATGATTTTTGTGATGAGGAAAATCGACTCTGATCGGGATGAAAATCGGTTCTGAGGCTGTCGGCGGGAGCTATAAAGAATTGCCTAGCAGTTCTGCTGCTGCTGGTAGATAACAACCTCGAAAATACCTGCAACTCCCAGTGAACCCTAGAAATTTGGAAAAGCACAACCAGGAAAAGGCAGGTTGGGCACCCGCAACAGAAGAACATGTTGGCGAGGCGTGACGACGCTGACGAAGACGTCGTGGTCATGATAATCCGAGGTGGAAGTGGGTGTGGCGAGGGGTTTTGTGTAACAGTTTGTTTCGCGCGACTGACATTCTGTGCACGACTCGTGGTAAAGTGTGGTTCGTCAAGCAGTGGACGGTCTTGGCCCTGACAGTCGCAGCCTGTGACAGTTTGGGCGCGAAACAATGTCTCAACAAAGAGTGATTCGTTGTTGTGCGGCAATTGTAGAATTTCTCATTGACTTTGGCTCACTTTACCTGATCGAGTTGGAGCGATCAGTTGATCGCGATCAGCTGATTGCCCCCCATTACCTGAAATTGGCTTCCAGGCTTTCTAGAAATTAAAGCGCGTGTGATCTGTTTTGAAGTCTGGAAAAACAGTTCGAACTTTGGGTGGTTACCCGTTTCGCAAATCTCGCCGAAACAAATTGGCGAAACATTATTTTATGGGGCACGTAAAAGTTCGAGTTCGAAATCTGAACTTGACTCGAGTTGGAGTCGTGAACATGCGTACGCACCTTCATTCGAGCGTGTGTGATTTGTAGCATGTACAAAACGCATGTGAAACGGGTGACCGCTTCGCGAGTGACTGAAATGGCACAACGAAGTTACTCTACTATTTGGTGCAATGAGTGGTAGCCACGTGGCCAGATTTTTGCGGGTAACCTATATTGTAACGATCCGGGTAACCTATATTGACCACGTGCGGCTCAGCTCGTTTTTCACAAGTTCGAATGTCGGGGTTCGACCTTGTATGTGTGTGTGCTTTTTTACTGTGTTGTAGACCTGATGTTGGAACTTTGATACAAGGAAAGTCAAATTTCGTTCGACTTAAGTTCGTTTCGCAAAATTCGCCCTGAAAACATAAACTTTTACAAATTTCGAAGACCACACACGCCCTTAATGGTCGCCTGTGATTGAGACGATCAAACTCGATTGGGCCCACGTCCTAAAAATTCTAGCATGTTCTGTCGAAGTCGGAGGGAGTTCACGAAAAAAGGGGTGAAACAGAGCATCCCGCCTGGCGCAGGTGCGCTGCTGTCGCAGGTGAAAATGAACATGCTCAACGGCGCGCGCAAGTGTATGCCTCACCCTCCGCACCCCCAGCAATTTTGGGAGCATACGCGACGAACGCCTGCAGCAACGGAACAGAAGCCATGGCAATGACAATGACAATGACAATGCAGCCATGGCCATGGCGGAGAGCTTTAACTACAGCAATGTGCATCAATCTCCAGCCTGATACTGACATTGTGGCACTCAGACGACGCGCGGCTTTAAGCTCTACACATTGGTGTGATTTTTGTGTTCATTACGGGAACCTAATTACCCTTTACACGAGTTCCAGGCTGTCGTCAGTGTTTCAAGCATCATCAAGGCTATCTATTGTACAACGCTACGATCAAGTTTCTAAGCTTTCCAATGGATATCATCGCGCCTTACACTTGGCACTGTCATCATCTCGCGCTACTTTCAAGGCTGTCATTCTCAGTGTTTCAACATTTCACGCGGTTCTCTTTCAGCGCGGCTCTATGACGTTCCCTAAGGTTCAGACGTCCTCCTCGGGCCTGGACCTGCAGCGCTTCAGTTTCAAGCATAAGAAGTACAGACAATCAGTTTCATCATCAGATGTGCTCAGTCCGGCTTGTCCCTCAGCCTCAAACGGGCTGACAAGCTTCTCTCATCATCGCACTATGGGGAAAGGACGCACCAACAAGACTGGCAAGAAGGCGGTGGACACGGACAAGGAGGCTGAAATGTCTAACGTACCTGCTGTTCCTGTGACGGATGCTGCGGACAAAGGGCGTATGCCATCTTCCTCTTCGTCGCCTGTGGTGCTTGGTCCCTTTGAGGATCTGCTGGACTTGCAGAACAAGGTTGATCTCACCGTTGAGCAAGATGGTGCTGGCGCAGATGGGGTCACTGGCACCACTACTAATGAGGAAGAGAAGGTGGCTGCTGCGGGGGAGGCTGATGCGGATGCAGACGCGTTGGAGGGTGAGGATGCCTTGTCAGATCGGGCTCCCGACGATGACGGAGATGGTTACCTGAGTGACGACTCCGACGAGCACCTGGAACCTGCTTCGCTTGGCAGCATTATCGCATTGAAAAGGTTTTCACTAACCCTGCTGGTGCCGTTTAACAGGAAGCCTGAAGTTAAGCGGACGGCTGTAACCGTGGCTGCCTTGCTGGATGATTGGAAGGATCAGTTGTCGCCTGATGTGCTGCAGACAACGACTTATCAGGAGCTTATCGCGACTTATTTTTCCGGCACGCGTTATGGTCGCCTTCAGGTTACCTTCAACCACGTCCGCGACGCGAATTTTGTCTGGAGCCAGGTCGTCAGGCATGAATGCGCAAACGGCGACATCGTTGACTTTACCTGGCAGCATCCTGAAGACGCACGTTTTCTTCGTGAGCGGCTGCTGAATCCGACGGCGAAAGAGATCATTGTCAAAGGAGTCCCTGCGGATATTACTGCTGAGCTGATACGTCACCTGCTAGTGGTGTCGAAGCTGGTTAAGCGCGGTCGGAGTACTTACGCCAGTGGTTTCGGCTTTCACCGTACTGTTGACCCGGTCACTGGGTTGGACACCGATCGCATCCGCGGCCTGTTTATTCCTCATGCTGATGATGAGTACCGCTGGAGGTACTTTGTGGAGGACCCATCGATTGGCAGGCGTTACCTGCTTCATTTGTCAAACATTATATCTGTTGTTGTTGTTTAGGCTACAGTGGGTTAGCCTTTAGGGGGTACACAAATTCTAGGGTTGCATACTTGTACTCACATTCTTGCTAGTCATTCCCATTCCTGCCAGTTAGTTTCAACATGGTTTCAGAGCAGGTCCTTCGCTAGGACCGTTTTTTTTTAGGGCCCACCTACCTACCTACCTACCTACCTACCTACCTACCTACCTACCTACCTACCTGCGCCCTAGAGCGCTTCGTACTTCACGGCCCCCTAAGGCCCCGCGACCCGCGACCCGCACCTTAGCGACCCGCGCGCCGCCCCTTAGCGACCCCGTCGGCCCCGCGTTCGCCCCCTATCGGCCCCTCTACGGCCCCGCGTTCGCCCCTAGAGGCCCCTTACGGCCCCGTCGCAGCCCCTTAGAGGCCCCGTCGGCCCCGCGCGCCGCCCGCTAGGGGCCCCGTCGACCCCGCGTACCGCCCCTTAGAGGCCCCGCTGGCCCCGTCGACCCCACCCACTGCCCCTACCTGCCCCGCACGCGACCGCGACGGCCCCGCCCGCACCGAGCCGCGCCGCCCTAACCGAGCCGCGCCGCCCTAACCGAGCCGCGCCGCCCTAACCGAGCCGCGCCGCCCTACCTGCGCCGAGCCGCCCTCCCTGGGTCGCACTACCTACTACTGTTAGGGGGCGCCTACTGCTACTGCTGCTACTGCTACTATGGCTAGTCCTCCCGTGCTAGCTTTCGATACTGAGGGACGTCCAGTGAAATTTGACACCTGGCTAGATGACCTGCACCTTTTCCTACAGCTCACTGCCAAGGAAGACATCTCACTGTACGATCACGCCCTAGGCCATGCCCCTGCGCCTGCTGCTACTGCCGACAGCTCTACCCGCTCACAGTGGCAGACTCGTGACGCCCACGCTCGCTTTGCTATTCGCAACTCCCTGCCGCTAGAAGAGCGCGAGCACTTTGGCCAGCACAAGACTGCACAGGACCTGTACAAAGCTGTCGTTGCCCGCTACTCCTCGCCTGCCTCTGCCGCTCTAGGCCGTCTCTCGCTTCCCTACCTGTTCCCCGACCTGTCCTCTTTCCACACAGTCGCTGACCTCATCACCCACCTCCGTACTAGTGAGGCCCGCTTCCGTGCTGCCATGCCCGCCGAGTTCCTTGCCAAGAACCCTCCCCCGCTCTGGCTCACTCTCTACCACCTAGTCACCCGCCTCCCTGACTCTCTGCGTGCAGTCAGGGATTCCTTCCTAGCTCGCTGCCCTACTGAGCTCACCATTGCCCTCCTCGAGAAGGAACTACTTGCAGCTGAGGCTAGCATAGTCGCTGTAGGTGCCTCTCGTGGCGACCCCCGCACCCCGTTCTTTGAGGGGTGTTCTCCTTCCCCCCTTCTTCCCTCTGTCGCCTCTGCTGCTGCTGTCGACCTCCTTGGTGCTGAGAAGGTCGGGACTGCGTCTGCTTCGAGCGGACGCCGCAGCGGCAAGGGCAAAGGGGGCAAGGGAGGCGGAGGTCACAGTGGGGGAGGAGGTGGTGGGGACGGTGGCGGCGGTGGGGGTGGTGGCGGGGCTGGAGGGGTGAGTGGTGGCGGTTGGGGGGGTGGCGGCAGCGGCGGGGGAGGTGGCAGAGGCGGGGGCGGTGGTGGGGGTGGCGGTGGACGTGGAGGCGGCGCGGGTTGGGGTGGTCGAGGAGGTGGGAGCGGAGGTGGTGGTCGTGGAGGCGCTGGCGGTGGCCAGAGCCAGCAGCACACTCCGTCGCCCCAGGAGGTCCGTGAGTGGTACTCTCAGCACGGGGGGGGGGGGGGGTGGGCTTAGCTGCACGTACGTCATCCGCACTGGTGACCGCGCTGGTCAGACGTGTGGGAGGGCCCACACCGCGCAGCGCTGCTTCTCTCGTCTCGACGACGCTTGGCGTGTTCAGTTCCCTCAGGCCTCTGAGCTGCCCCGCTGGATTGATCTCCTGAAGAAGGGGATTGATATCTATGCTCTAGACTTTGATGCTATTCTCACTGCCATGTATGTGATGTCTACTAGTGGAGAGGGTGCCGAGTACCTGTGTGTTCCGCCCGACCCGGGCATTAGGACCAGTGAGTCTGCCGCTTCAGGTCCGCGCGTGTCTGCTTCCTCAGGTGCTGGTGCGGCTGCTGCTCTAGGTGCTTGTGCGTCTGCGCCCACTGGTACTGAGTCGACTGCAGCACTGCACACCTTCACACTGGACTCAGGTGCTTCTCGCTGCTTCTTTCGTGACCGCACTGCCCTTGAGCCACTTGCTCGGCCAGTTGCTGTCTCTCTCGCTGACCCCTCCGGGGGACCGGTCGTGGCGACCTCCTCCACTGTCCTTCCCTGTCCTGCGGTCCCGTCGGGCACATTGTGGGGTCTCCACCTCCCCTCGTTCTCTACGAACCTGGTGGCTGGGTGTGCGCTCAGGATGCGTGTGTTCACCAGTTCACCCCGGCCTACGAGCGCGTGACGCACTGCACGTGTGCCCGTACGGGCCGCCACTTGGCTACCTTCACTCGGCAGCCGGGGTCGGACCTGTACACACTGACCACTGAGTCCCCTCAGGTCGCTGCGTCTGCGTCTGCGTCTGCGTCAGGTCAGCTGTCGGCCCCCTGCTCGTGTCGCTCTCTGGCGCACGAGACTGTCCTCTGGCACCACCGACTTGGCCACCCGTCTGTGCAGCGCCTTCGGGCCATGCACTCCAGGTACCTTGTCTCTGGTCTTCCCAGGGTCCTCCCTCCTCTCCCTCCCTCCCAGGGTCTTCCCAGGTAATTGTCGAGTTTCCGGGTCTTGGGATCTCGAGCTTTTGTCCGCGACGCTTCCGCGGACAAGCTCTCCACCCGCGCTGTTCCCTGTGTCTTCCTTGGCTTTGTCCCTGACGCGTCTGGTTGGCAGTTTTACCACGCCACCTCGCGCCGGGTCCTTGCCTCTCAGGACGTCACTTTCTTCCCCTACCGCACTGCCCCACTCCCCCCCCCGCCTCTCTTCCTCGCACCAGGTGCTGCTGTGGTAGACCCCCTCCCCCCTCAGGGTGCCGCTCCCTCAGGTGTGTCCCAGGTAGACCCGGTTGACCCTGTTGAGGTAGCTGTTGACTCTCGTCCTGCTGGGGGTGCGGAGCCTGGGGGTGCTGAGCCTGGGGGTGCTGAGCCTGGGGGTGCGGAGCCTGCGGTTGCGGAGCCTGGGGGTGCGGAGTCTGGGGGTGCTGAGCCTGGACGTACTGAGCCTGGGGGTGCTGTGCCTGGGGGTGCTGAGCTGCAGAGTTCTGGGTCTGGGAGTGCTGAGTCTGGGGGTGCTGAGCCTGGGAGTCCTGCGCCTGGGGGAGCTCTCTCCTCGCAGCGACTGCGTGAGTGGTACTCAGAGTACTGCAGCCTCCGGAGAGGTGCCTCTGGGACCAGGAGTGCTGCTGCGACTGGTGCTGGTGCCTCCCCTCCTCAGCGGGAGCTGCCCTCTCTTGAGCGGATCCGCGAGTGGTACGAGCGGCGCTGCACTCTCCGGAGTGGAGCGCCTGGTGTCGCGGACCCTGGTGCTGGAGGTGCTGCTGCTGTTGCTGGAGGCCCTGCTAGTGCTGCGGACCCTGGAGCTGGAGCTGCTGCTGGTGCTGCGGACCCTGGAGCTGGAGCTGCTGCTGGTGCTGCGGACCCTGGAGCTGGAGCTGCTGCTGGTGCTACATACTCTGACGCTGGAGGTGCTGCTGGTGCTGCGGACCCTGGAGCTGGAGCTGCTGCTGGTGCTGCGGACCCTGGAGCTGGAGCTGCTGCTGGTGCTGCGGACCCTGGAGCTGGAGCTGCTGCTGGTGCTGCGGACCCTGGAGCTGGAGCTGCTGCTGGTACTGCGGACCCTGGCGCTGGAGCTGCTGCTGGTGCTGCGGACCCTGGAGCTGGTGCTGCTGGAGCTGCCGCGGGTGCTGGTGCCGTCTCTCCTGGTTCTGGAGTCACTGAGCGGCCCCGACCGTACTTCGTTCCGCTTCTCCAGCAGGTTCTTGGTCAGCCTCCTCCTCCTTGTCCTGCTCCCTCCTTAGAGTGTCCTCCGCCTGTCACGTCGCAGTCGCAGTTACCGCCTCCCTCGCCGCTCCCCGGTCCTTCTCCTTACACTGGTCCCACAGGAGGTCTTACGGAGCGTCGTGAGCCTGAGTCTCGTCCTGTGTCGCCTGCGTCTCGCTCTGCGTCGCCTGTCCGTGCTGCTCGCACTGGTCGTCGTGTCCCGCGTGAGCGTCCTCCTCCTGTCCCTGGCACTCACTACATGACTCTGCGTCCCTCCACTACTCCTCAGCGTGTCCTTCTGCCGTCTCCTCCTGCGTCCTCTCTTCCTGAGCTTCCTGACCCGGAGTCTGACTCCCTTCGTGCTGCCCGTCCTACTGTCACGCGTCTCCTTGCTACTGTTGTCACTGACCCTACCTTTGAGTCCTCTGCTGCGTCTGCTCTAGTCGCTGAGTTGGTTGACTTTGCTGCCGCTTGTCGTCTCGACTACGCCGCTAGCCTAGTTGCTGAGTCTGGGTCTGTCTGTCCTCCGTCCGTCGGGGGTGAGTGTGCTCTTGGCACGGACGTCCTTGAGGACAGGCAGGAGGAGTTCCAGTGCTTTGCTGCTGCTTTACCTCATCTCGTGTCCATGCTAGTTGCCCCTGAGGGAGACCCGGATGCACCAGACATCCCGACCCCGCGCTCTTACGCAGAGGCGATAGCGGGTCCCTACTCCTCTCAGTGGCAGACAGCCATGGACGCAGAGATGGCTTCCTGGAAGTCCACAGGCACCTACGTCGACGCTGTTCCCCCACCAGGGGCGAACATCGTCAGTGGCATGTGGATTTTCAGGGTGAAGCGACCGCCGGGTTCTCTGCCTGTCTTCAAGGCGCGTTACGTTGCTCGAGGCTTCAGCCAGCGTGAGGGAGTCGACTTCTTCCAGACCTTCTCCCCCACCCCGAAGATGACCACTCTTCGGGTGCTGCTGCACATAGCCGCTCAGCGTGACTACGAGCTTCACTCTCTTGACTTCAGCACTGCTTTCTTGCAGGGCAGTCTGCACGAGGAGATCTGGCTGCGCCGCCCTCCTGGCTTCACTGGGTCGTTTCCTCCTGGTACCCAGTGGAGCCTCTGCCGGCCAGTCTACGGTCTCCGCCAGGCACCACGTGAGTGGCACGACACACTGAGGACGACACTTGCGGCACTTGGGTTCGCGCCTTCTACTGCTGACCCGTCGCTGTTTCTGCGCACAGACACTTCGTTGCCGCCGTTCTACATCCTCGTGTACGTCGACGACTTGGTCTTTGCCACTGCTGACACTCAGGCTCTCGCCCACGTGAAGTCGGAGCTGCAGAAGAGACACACGTGCACAGACCTGGGTGAACTGACAAGCTACCTTGGCTTGCGGATCACCCGGGACAGAGCACGCCGCACCATTACCTTGACTCAGTCACACATGGTGCAGCAGGTCCTTCAGCGCTTCGGCTTCACGTACTCCTCGCCTCAGTCCACTCCTCTGCCTACCGGTCACCCGCTCTCAGCTCTGCCTTCGGATGAGTCCGTAGAGCCGAGTGGCCCGTATCCAGAGCTTGTGGGCTGCCTCATGTACCTGATGACCTGCACTCGTCCTGACCTTGCATACCCTCTTAGCATCCTTGCACGCTATGTCGCTCCTGGCCATCACCGGAAGGAGCACATGGATGCTGCTAAGAGGGTGTTGCACTACTTGTGCAGTACGTCGGGCATGGGGCTAGTGCTTGGAGGGCGAGACCGAGTTGTTCTCACTGGACACTCAGACGCTTCTTGGGCGGACGACCAGGCCACTCAGCGGTCGTCTCAGGGTTACACCTTCAGCCTTGGCTCCGGTTCAGTTTCTTGGCGTTCTACACGTTCTTCTTCAGTTCTCAGCTCCAGTTGTGAGGCTGAGATCTACGCCACAGCCATGGCGGTCGAGGAGCTACGCTGGCTCACCTACCTGCTGACCGACTTGGGAGAGCAGCCTCGTTCTCCTCCAGTGCTGTACGTCGACAACAAGGCTGCCATTGCCTTGTGTGAGGAGCACAGACTGGAGCACAGAACAAAGCACATCGCTCTGCGGTACTTTCTGGCTCGTGAGCTGCAGCAGCGTGGTCAGCTTTGTCTGCGTTACGTGGCCACTCAGGCCAACACTGCTGACGTGTTCACCAAGGCGCTTCAGCCTTGTGACCATCAGCGCTTCTGTACTCTTCTAGGCCTTGTGCCTACTGGACCTCACTTGCTTACTTCTTGACTTTGTTTGTACTGTGATCTCTATATATATTCCTGCATGCTTTCACTTGCTAGGTTGTGATCACTGTACCTCTTGCTCTACTATCAAACTGCATGTGAACTGGTCTTGTGACCACTCTCTTGTTCTTGGAATTTGTGTGGTATCCCTTGAGATCCACCCTGAGCTTGCTTGTGCTTTGCTTTGCTCTGACTGGTCTTGTGACCCCTTGTTCTCCCCCACTTTGCCTATGGGGGTGTGTCAAACATTATATCTGTTGTTGTTGTTTAGGCTACAGTGGGTTAGCCTTTAGGGGGTACACAAATTCTAGGGTTGCATACTTGTACTCACATTCTTGCTAGTCATTCCCATTCCTGCCAGTTAGTTTCAACATCATTACCCGTCGCTTACCTGCGAGCTCTGCAGCGGTCAGCACATGTCTCGTTACCATGATCATTATGTCACCCCGCGCCAGGAGAACTTCACCAACTGGAACCTGACTGTCAAAAAGGTTCATGACATGAACGGTATAAGCAGGAAGACCCCATCCCCTCGTCGTCTTTCACTTCCTTTACCTTCGCTTTCCAGTCCGCTCATATCCTGCCTCCCGAATCGTACTGATGACTGTCTCCTCACCTCCTCCCGCAGTGGCTTCCCTGAAAGCCACAACGTCCCTGACACGCATTCTAAAAGATCCCGCAATCATACTTACCTCTACGGGAGGTGTGCGGGAGGAGTGGGTGTGCGTACAGACAGTTTGCGAGAAGGCTCAGGGGAATCGTTTCGAGCAGGCGGCGGCCTATGTTGCTTCTGCCAGGCACAAGGGAGGGCTGAAGAACGAAGGCGCTGCAACACGTGCCAGCAAGCACTCCCAGAAGATGGCTGCTTTCAAAAAGGAGTTCATGGCCATGCCGGCAAAGAAGTGACCAGCGGCTTAGCGGATGAGATGACGTCGTGGTTGTTTGGAGCAAGTTGTGTAGTAGGTGCCATGTTCTCCTTCGCTGTAGCAGGATGCATCGTCGCAATAAAGATCAATCGCCCGTGGATGCTGTGGGGCTCAAAGGAAGTGGTTAATGGATAAACGCAACAGCTTAACCTTTCTCGAGCTCAACATCAACGGGCTCGGTAGCTGTGGGAAACAAGAGAGATGTGGAAAGTGGGTCAGGAAGGCAGCACACATAGTTGTACTCACCGACACACGAGTTTCACAAGATCATAACTTCTGGACGCAGGTCAGGTCGGAAGCTCAGGCGGTGGTTACCCCGTCACAGAGAGCCGGGGGGGTGGCGGTCTTGGGCTTCCTGCCAGGCATGCGGTTCACAGACGTGGTTAAACACGAGTCTGGCAGGCTCATAAGTTTGATGATTGCATGGCGGGATCTTTCCTGCAGGGTGGTGGCTGTATACCTACCTGCACAGGCACCCGCTAGGGGGGTCTTTTTTCGTGACGTACTAACGCCCTTTGTGCAGAGCTTGGGTGCCTCTCCGTATACCATATTGCTTGGTGACCTGAACTTCGTTGCGGATCCAGAGCTTGACAAATCCTCCAAGCTTGGCACGCCGACGGAGAACCAGAGGCTCCAGCAGATTTTCTCGAGATGGGATCTACAGGATGCTTTTCGAAGCCTCCACCCGACCAGGAAGGAGTACACTTTCTTCTCGAGGTCTGCGAAAACAAGTACGCGAATTGACAGGGCGTTAGTTTCACACTCCTTGCTGGGGTGTGTAACGGAGGCGAAGCATTGTATGGTACCCTACGGCCTGACAGACCACTGGTTTGCAGTGAGGGTGACGCTCAAGGCGGCGGCAGCAGATGATCATGGGCCGGGTTGTGGAGGCTCCAGATGCCTCGGTCCGGGGGTGATGGTGTCAAGAACATCGTCTCGGTGGTGGTGTCGTCACATGAGAGCTGTCCGGATCAAAGCTTGGAGAGACTTGTGGTAAACCTGCGTGCATGTATGCGTGCTCATGTAACAGAAGAGAGAAAGAGGGTGAGAGCGACTTTGTTACACCTGGAACGGAAGGTGGAAGAGTTGCGATGGAAAGTGATGGCGGACGCCTCATCGCAGGCCCTATACGAGGAGCTGGTCAAGGCTGAGGCAGCACTTAAACTCTATCAGGATGATAGCAAGGAGCGGCTACAGGTCATGACGGGGCTGCTGGTGGAGCTGGCCAGTGAAACGCCTTCGGGTTTCCTGTCGGGTTTGGTCAAATCGAGAAAGGCAAAGACGGAAATTATGGAGCTGGTATACAAGGGGGTACAGAGGAAAGGGGCGAAGGAAGTACTGCAGGCGGCTTCTGAACATTTCAGGGAAGCGTACGCGGAGGCAGCGCCTGGTCGCACTGCGGAGCCATGGCCGATAGATGAGGGAAGGAAGCTGCAGGAGACGGACAAGCTGCAGCTGGATGCGGAGTGGTCGGAGCAAGAGGTGAAGGCAGCGCTCAGAGGCTTACCAGTGGGGAAGGCCCCGGGACAGGATGGGCTGCCGAAGGAGTTTTTTGAACGCAACTGGAGCTGCTTGGCCCGGCTGTGATGAAGGAGGTTCGTGGCTTCGAGTCGACGGGGGTACTCTCGGAAGCCTTTACAACCGCGGTAACCATTCTGCTGCACAAGAAAGGAGACAGAGGCGATTTGGGAAATTACCGACCGATTACATTACTCAGTTTCTTTTATAAGCTACTGGCGAAGGTGATGGCGAACAGAATGAAGCAGGTCTTACCGCGGGTCATCTCGGACAAACAGTTCGGCTTCCTCCCGGGGAGGAGCCTAGCCGATGCGGTCTCGCTGGTAGCGGATGTAATTGATGCCGCGCAGGAGGAGGATGAAGATTGGCTGCTGCTGCTGCTGGATTTCCAAAAGGCTTACGATTATGTGTCCCGGGGCTACCTGTTTGCGACGCTTAGTGATATGGGTTTCCCGGAGAAGTTTGTGCGGTGGGTGAGGGGCCTGCACGACGGCGCGCCGACCAGGATGCTGCTGAACGGTTGGGTAGGAGAGCGTGTGGCAATGGACAAGGGAGTGCGGCAGGGATGCCCGCTTGCTCCATATCTCTTCCTTTGCGCGGTGGAGCCGCTCTGCCAGGAAATTGGGAGGAGGAATCTGGGTGTTCGGAAACGAGGGGTGAAGGGGGAGTTAGCCTACATAGGATATGCCGACGATACAACACTTGTCTTGAAAGGAAAGGAGCAAGTGGCTACAGCGAGTAAGCTGCTCGACGACTTTGCAGAGCTTTCGGGGCTGAGAGTGAACAGCAGCAAAACGACGCTGATGCCGCTGGGGAAAAACAGGAGGAGACTGCTGCCGATTGAGTCGCCCTTCACGTGGGTTGACAAAGACAAGTCGGAGCGGCTTCTGGGAATCTGGATAACCTCTGGTGGGTCGCCGGGTCTTGCATGGGATAAAGCATTTGAAAAGGTCAGTGCGGTGCTGAGCTGCTGGGAATCGAAACACCTCAAGACGTCGGCGCGAGTTACGATCATCAACAGCTATGCGATGCCGATCCTGCTGTTTCAAGCGCAGATCTATGCCCCGCCGCACGATATCTGGACCAAGGTGAAGAGGCTGTGTCACAACTTCATCTCGGGAGGAAGGGCGGTCCTCGATAGGCATTTCACCCTCTGGATTTGACCTGTCGTGCAGGAGACGGAAGGAAGGGGGGCTGGGCGTGATTGACCTGAAGCAGCGGATCGACAGCATAGTGATACAGAACCTGGGGAAAGTTCTGGCGGAGCAGGTGCCATTACGAAACTGGCTATGGGAGAGGGCGGCCGGCTTCCCGCTTGGCCTAGCCACGATTTACGCCCATCCGTCGGTGCTGAAACATTGGCTGGGTGGTGGCACGAGGTGGAAAGCGGCGGTAAAGACGTTGTGGGATTCAAAGTTGGTAGTGTCAGAATGTTATATTGTCTAGCCTGCAGTGGGGTACTCTATAGCGAGTACAGCCCAATCTAGGGTTTGCTATTTGTACTCAACTGCCTGCTAGTTCAAACCCTCTTTCTGTTCCTAACTTCTGCCTAACTTGTTTCGACATGCTATCAGAGCAGGTCGACCCCCTTGGGTCGATCCTGTGGGTGGGCCCACCACCTAACTGCTTCCGCTGCTGTTATGCTTCTCGCGCGCCTCGGGCGTGCGTCGTCTTCTTCCTGCCGTGCGCTCGGGGCGCGCGGCGGTTTTCTGCCCGCCGTGCGCCCCGAGGCGCACGGCGGTTTCCTATCGTGGGGGACCCGCGCGCGCCCCCGCCCTGTCCGTCGCGTCGCCCTAGGGGACCCGCGCGCTGCCTCCGCTGCCCCGTCGGTGGTCGCATCGCCCCGCCACCCCCGTCGCGCCGCCCTGGGGAGCCGCGCGCGACCCCCCGCTGCCCTGTCGACAGTCGCGTCGACCAGCTGGAGCCGCGCGCGGCTCCCGATTCCCCGTCGCGCCGTCCTGGGGAGCCGCGCGCGACCCCCCGCTGCCCCTTCGCGGCGCCCTGGGGAGCCGCGCGCGGCCCCTCGCTGCCCCGTGGTGGCGCCCTGGGGGCCGCGCGCCGTCCCCCTCGCCGTCCCCCGCGCTCCTTCCCCCGTTCCGCCCGTTTTAGGGTTTGGGGGTGGGGAGTGTGGGGGTGGCGGTTGTGGGGGTGCCGGTTGTGTGCCCCGTCCCCTCCTCCTCCTCCTCCTTCGTCTCCCGCTGCTGCAGCTGCCGCTCAGGGGGGTGGTTGTGTGGGGAGCCGAAGGAGTGGTGCTAGGGGGGTGAAGGGGGAGTGGAGCTAGGGGCGCAGCAGGGGGTGTGTGTCGAGGGGTGTGGGACTGTTGGGGGAGATTGAGTGGAGGTTGCCGTCGTGTCGTCCGCAGCGCCTGTATTCCGGGGTTCTGATAGCCACCGGTAGCTCAGAGAGCCGGTTGCACCTGTCGCCTGGGTAGCTTGAGCTTGCACCTGTCGCCGTGCCGTTGCTCCTGTCGCTGCTGATCAGACGCAGAGCCAGTTACTCCTGTATTCCGGGGCACTTGCTCCCGGTAGCCACTAGCGTTGCACCAGAGCCGTCTGTTGCCCGTGTGTCTGCAGCTTCAGTCGTCGCCTCCCATCTACTCTCCTCTCGCCAGCCCTCCTCCTCCTCACTTGCCCTCAGTGACTGCCTCTACCTTTGCTCATAATTTATGAACTATTGCTATTGTGACTGCTTGTTGTGCTGATTACACCCCACTTTGGCTATGGGGGTGTGTCAGAATGTTATATTGTCTAGCCTGCAGTGGGGTACTCTATAGCGAGTACAGCCCAATCTAGGGTTTGCTATTTGTACTCAACTGCCTGCTAGTTCAAACCTCTCTTTCTGTTCCTAACTTCTGCCTAACTTGTTTCGACAGGTAGTCATGGGCGATCCTGCGCACAGATGGGATGCAGAGGAGGAGCAGTTGCTTTTCAACCGGAAATTTTTCTTCAAGGGTGGCTCACCTTTCGGGAACCAGGCGGGCTCACACTGTCTGAAGGGCGTCCGTCTGGGCGACCTGGTCGCCAAAGGAGCAAGTGGTGGGAGGAGTCTCAAAAGCGAGGCGGTGTTGGAACGGGAATTGGGCGGAGAGGAGCAGAGGAAATGGGCCCTCAAGGCGTGGGAGGCGACGCCCCAGGGATGGAAAGATCTACTACTCGGTCAACTAACAGCGGAGGAGGTTTTCAGGGAGACGGGGCTTATCTGTACACCGTCGTACCGGCCGAGAGAGTTCTTTACTATCGACTGGAACACGTGGAAGAAGGGGTGTTATATGGGAAAAGTGTGGAAGTGGATAAGAAGGGCTTCGTATCGACGGTGAGATATGCGGATGTGGTGGCGGTGGATTTCCTGCGAGCTACGCCTATGGCGGTCATCGACGGGAGGGTTCGTGGCCCGCTAGGAACTCCAAGGACAAGGCTGCTCCACACACCGATTGTGACAAGGGAGAGCGAGCCGAGCTGAGACAGCTGAGGAAGGCGATGAAACCCCCGGTGTCCCAGCCTAAGCAACAGTTGAGATGGGGGAGGAGGAGATGGGGAAGAAGATCGATTGGGGGAAGGCCACCACGGTCCGGGACTCTTTGGCAACTCCATGCAGAGCAAGGAGGTGGTGCTGAGGCTGCACAGCAACAACCTGCAAGTGGGGGAGAGGCTGCCCTTCCTGGGGGAGAGGGCGAAATGTGTGCATTGCGGAGAGGTGGAGTCGCAAGATCACTGTTTGTTCAGCTGCCCGGTGATCCAGCCGGCGGTCAAGATGATGAAGGGGGCGGTACAGTGCATGAACCCGGGCAGGGAAATGAAGTCCCTCGGAGACATGTTGTTTCAGAAGAGTGGCACGTCGACCTGTTTTCCGGAAGCTGCAATCATTTCGATCACAGCACAGCAAGTGTGGCTGGAGAGGTGCAATGCGGTGTTTCGTGGCAGTCGCTTTCAACCGAAGAGAGCACTGAGACGCATAGCGGTTGTTTTACAAGGCACGTGAAGGTATACAGCAGAGCGCGGGAAACGGTCGGCTGGCAGGGGTGTTTCAAAGAGGACGGGGGAGTGGATGTCAAGAGAGTAAGCATAAGCAGGAGCCATAGCTAGGAGAACCCTAGCTAGGCAAGAGAAAGTTTAGGCAAAGAGGAGGTTCACTAGCAGCAATGAGGATACATATAGCAAACCCTAGATGGGTTGTACTCGCTATAGAGCACCCCACTACAGGCTAGAGAATAACATTCTGACACACCCCCATAGCCAAAGTGGGGGTGTAATCAGTACAATGAGCAAGCAGGTAGAAAGCAGGTTCACAAGTGCAAGCAAAGCTAGAGGCATTCACAAAGGGCAAGTGAGGAGGAGGAGTCCTGTGGAAGGAGAGAAGATGAGAGGCGACGGCTGAAGCTGCAGACACACGGGCAACAGGAGTCAAACTGGCACAGTGGCTACCGGAACAGCGCCCCGGACTACAGGAGTAACTGGCTCCGCGGCTAAGAAGAGCGGCAGACGAGCAACGGACCCACGGGCGACTGGCGCAGCTGGCTACGACTGGGCTACCGGAACAGGCCCGGACTACAGGTGCTGCTGACGACAAGACGGCAGCCTCCGCTCAACCTCCCCCGACCGTCCCACGCCCCTCTCACACACCCCCTGCTGACACCCTAGCTCCACTTCCACGGCACCCCCCTTAAACCCTAAACCTCGGCTCCCACACATCCACCCCCCTCAGCGGCAGCTGCAGCAGTGGGAGACGGAGGAGGAGGAGGAGCAGGGGACGGCGCACACACACGGCACCCCCAGAGCTGCCACCCCCACACTCCGCACCCCAAAACCCTAAAAACGGGCGGCGGGAAGGGGGAAGGAGCGCGGGGGACGGCGAGGGGGACGGCGCTCGGCCCCAGAACCGACAACGGGAGAGAGGGGCCGCGCGCGGCTCCCCAGGGCGGCGCGACGGGAAATCGGGGGG